GCTGGTTGTAATATTAATGTTTTATAATTATACCAATGATCTGATACTAAAGCTACTGTTTCTCTACAAAATAAGACCAGAAATAGTTCCAATCATACTAAACATTAGGTATTGTTGAAAACAACATATCCAATATGACTGTCCTCTGACTATCTGCAGATACAGATAGTTTGAGATTGAAATTTCAAATCAAAACAATGAAGTTGTGCAAAAAAAAGTGGAAAGTATTTTTCTTGTTCACATTAAAAAATTCTTTACAATTTGTCCAATCTTGTTTTTAAATTATAAAATAAATGCAGAACTGCATCTGAAAATCTAACCTGATCATTTTACCAATACGTTTATTTAATTGTCTGTATCTCGACATACAGTACGTCTGTAAACCACGGCCTAATAAATCTATCCAACATGTTGTAAAGGCAAATATCTTTAATAATACACTCTCATTGGTTTCATGTATACTATATTGCACCGAACCTATAAATATATATAAATATATAAACAATGCAATAATATAAAAATATATCTAAAACCATACTAAAACTATCAATTTTAATCTTATAAATATAACCAAATACTTAAGATGATACTTACCAAAACTATCAGCTCTAACATGATACATACTAAAACTATCAGCTCTAACATGACACTTACTAAAACTATCAGTTCTAACCAGAAACTTACCAAAACTACCCGCTCTAACACGATACTTACCAAAACTATCAGCTCTAACACGATACTTACTAAAACTATAAGTTCTCACCAGAAACATACCAAAACTACCAGCTCTAACACGATACTTACTAAAACTATCAGCTCTAACACGATACTTACTAAAACTATCAGTTCTAACCAGAAACTTACCAAAACTACCAGCTCTAACACGATACTTACCAAAACTATCAGCTCTAACACGATACTTACTAAAACTATCAGTTCTCACCAGAAACTTACCAAATCTAGCAGCTCTAACACGATACTTACTAAAACTAGCAGCTCTAACACGATACTTACTAAACTATCAGCTCTAACATGATACTTACTAAAACTATCAGTTCTCACCAGAAACTTACCAAAACTATCAGTTCTAACATGATACTTACTAAAACTATCAGCTCTAACATGACACTTACTAAAACTATCAGTTCTAACCAGAAACTTACCAAAACTACCCGCCCTAACACGATACTTACCAAAACTATCAGCTCTAACACGATACTTACTAAAACTATAAGTTCTCACCAGAAACATACCAAAACTACCAGCTCTAACACGATACTTACTAAAACTATCAGCTCTAACACGATACTTACTAAAACTATCAGTTCTAA